GTGGTCCGGCTCATCACGTTCTACTCCGACTGAATATCCAAAATCGGTATATCAACTTGAAAAAAAAACAGGGAAAGCTGGATCACCCACTGATTAGCCGGACCGTCGGGGTTTTTCAAGCAAAGAAAGAACAACGGCGAAACAGTTGTCTGGGCATTTTAGGTAGTACCTGAGTTGTTAGTATGGTAAGTTACAACTACATCTATAACTAAGCTACTACAGTGTATCCAGTGGCAGTAATTGTGTATTACGCAGTGGTTGACGGATTTAAGTCCAACAACTAACAATTTCGGTCTGTGCCTATAGATCTTAAGTAGGCTGAAGTATACCGCGATCAGTTATTAGTTTCTAAGGAAATGAGAAAGCTATATGGTTATCTGAGCCAATCATAGCCTGATATAGAGAAAATCAGAATTTCCTTAGTCTAAGGTAAGTGACTGCAATTCATCAGGCAAGTAAACCCCCATTCAACCAAGTTAGAAAACTGTAAAATCATGAGTCAGGTTACTAAGGAGACTTAAAATCCAAATATTTACATATCGCAATTTGAATGAAGTAACTGCTGCTTATGCACATCTTTCCAGTCTATGTGGTTAAATGCAAAAGTATGCCTGAGTCCAAAACGGTTCCCTCCATTCGTTTGCATCCAGATAGAACATTTACTACCACTGAGGCCTCCTCAGACCTAATTTAGAAAAACAAAAGTATTTTCAAGACGCCCTCTGCGCAGGAACGGGCAGTAGGTCGAAACAGATTATCATCCAGGCATTGGACATATCCAGGCCACTTTTTTTACTTTTAGCCTATAGTTAGAAATGAATTATCACGTACAATTGGAATAACTCCATTACATTCCACTACCTTCCAGTTTTCGAGTATAGAACTCGATCTGACTTTAATAAGCGTGTAGGCTTTCGTAAAGCCCATCCCTAAGAAAACGTCTGTAAAATATACTTTTCTGATTCATCAGCTCCTGAGTTTTACCTGGCGTAGATTGTTCCCTGAAAAATTATGCGGAACCAGGCTGGCCTACTTAATATAATATATCCACTCTCTGACGTATAGGCAGCTGCGCGGAGGCCTGCTAGTTCTTTCCACATCGTGCGTGATTTGGCCTGCACCCTCAGGTGTGATGACTTCTTCTAACTCGCGACTACAATTACCCTGCGGGAGAATCATTTCAAACCACATGTGCTCCAATGAATGGATGAGAAAGTACATTTTTTTGCCAGCCATGTCGAGAAACCGTGGATTACTTTGATTGGGGGATACTGTGGAGAAATTTAAACACGGGTTTAAAATATGCATGCTGCGCAAAAAGCAGACCCAATGACAAACATATTTTTAAAAACCAGACATCGAGTCAACATTTATTTGACGCTGCATTTGCTTTACAATGATGCTGATTCTATCAATTTTAATTTGATTACTGGGGGTTCAAAGGCCTTAGCCTTCTCCTCTCAAATATACCGACGTGAACCGAACTTAGTCATTCTTGAACGTATCACATCTCTTTCTAAGAAACAGACGTCAGTGACCGTTATCTACTTTCATTGTATCAAAGCCTTCGACAAGCTGCCACAAGTAATGTTTTGATAAAATCCGAATAGGTGAAATATGTAGTTATGTATTGATAGACATTGATTGATGCACAGCTCGCAATCTGAAAACTCATTCAAACAGAAACTACTTCATTTGGTAAGTGACTAATTTCTTACAAAATACGTCGCAATGGACACGCGATTCCGAAGTTGCCAACAGTCTAGTAGAGAGGAAAATTGGGAGTACAGTCCTTTCTCGGTACTCGTCGCTCCAGCAGAAGACGAGCAGCATTACTCGAGATGCAGAAGAACAAACAGTGAAAACTTGTAGATTAAGATTTACGAAAATTCCCAACAGAGAATTCAGAAGACTAGTTTGGCGAGTGTACATATGATTTTGTTAAATTTTCGTCGGGTGAACACATTTATATGGGAATATGGTACAAGATAAAGCGTGTTTGTCTTTTCGTACAAGAAAGTCATGGGAATAGGGAGAAGGGTCGATTAGAAAAGACTTGTTATGAGGGAAGGTTCGGTGGAGACTAGGGAAGGTGGAGGGGGAGGCAAGGCATAAAGAGCGCGGACGAGGGCATGCCGCCAAGTGAATAAGGACGAACACGTCTTAA